AAATCCATTGCCTGGCTGCAATCATAAGTTTTTTTCGGCTAGGAACGTCAACAATGACGTATTGAGTATACTCAAGTTTAGGACGTACGAACACTGTATACAAAGTCGACATGAGTAAAAGCCCTACGTATTGACCATTAAGTCCTAAAACCTTTGACTGCTATTGCACGGCAGTGTGCAGTAGTCTTCAAATCTCGGCTAACGATGACTCCTAAGTCATTATGTGTCTGGACAACAGGTAGCTCAGTGTTATTCATCGTGTATGTATCTGAACCATGATGAATGATATGCATCACAACACACTTGGAAGTATTTATCGGCAGCTGCCATGTATGAGACCATTCGGATAATTTCTTCAGGTCATTTTGGAGTTCTGAGCTATCACCCTTACATCGTATCGTTCCCCATAACTTGACATCTTCAGCATATGGCAAGACCGATGGTGATGTTAGGCGACGAAGGTCATTTACATACAGGAGGAATAGCACTGGCCCCAAAACTGTACCCTGGGGCACTCCACTAAGCACAACTTCCCAGCTAGATAACTTTGAGCTCACCCGTACTCTTTGTTGGCGCCCAACTAGGAGGTCTTTTATCCACATCAATAGATTGCCTCCAATTCCGATATTTCTTAGCTTATATAACAGCCGGTTGTGCGGAACCTTGTCAAAAGCTTTGCTGAAATCAATGTAAGCCACGTCTACAGGTAACTTTTGGTCCTTAAAAGCGCACCAGCTTTCTCGAGTGACTAATAAGTTAGTGAGACAAGAATAACCCATTCTGAAACCATGCTGTTTCTCCGAGAAGATCCGGTCTACATCGAGGTACTTAAACAGCTCCTTCTGAATAATCATTTTTAAGATTTTAACAACCACACTAGTTAGGCTAACGGGTCGGTAATTCTCAGATTTATGTTTCGTAACTGTTTTGAAGACAGGACTTACTATGGCGTTCTTCCAGTCTTTTGGTAAACGACCCTGCGTAACGGATAGCTTAAAGCATATACTTAAAGGGTTCGCAACGAAGTTAGATAATTCCTTTAGTAGCCTAGGATGCAATTCATCCGGCCCCGTGGATTTACCTATGTCAAGCTTATTTAGCAGATCAAAGACATCGAGTTCATTTATGGTCACACTATCCAGTGTATGTGGGGGGATTTGTATGCTTCTATGGTATATACATTGCTAAAGTAGTATGAGAACACTTGAGCCTTACCAAAGTCATCTTCCACTAATGATGCGTCAGTACTGTCTCCCCATAGTGCTGGAATAATTCCTCTTCTTTTTGTCCTTTGGTTTATATGAGAATACAAGCATTTCGGACATTCTATAGATTCCTGAACAATTTTTTCTTCGTACAACCATCTAGAGGCACAGGTAGTCCGAGCTTTTCGGTACTGAGATTTTGTCTCATCAGTCCCCAGTGACCAAAACCTATCTCGAATTTTTCTTCCCTTACGGAGAGGAATGAGAACCTCGCTGCTGGGCCATAGTGGATCGTTTCTCGGCACCTTTGGTTTAGTAAAAGAGATGTGGGGTGCGGTAACTTTTAAGTATAAATTTCGAAATACGTCCCAAGCCGTTTCAATTAAGATTTCTCACTCTATTGTCCAATCTACTGACGATGCTAAGTGCACGATATCTTGTATATTTGCTTTCTTGACGTTAGGTCTGGATTGAGCTGACATGAGTTTGTACGGAAGTCAAAGTTTAAAACCTCATAGTCACTTTTACCCAGGGGTGGCATATAACCGAGGTTTGTAACGTCATCCTTATAATGAGTCAGTATGAGATCTAGCAAGGATGATTCAGTGTCCGGGTCACATCAACTAGTTCCTGCCCGAAAGAATTATCTGACGATTTCGTTCGTAGATTTTCTCAGTGTACCATGGGTTCATTAAAGTCCCCTAGGATTAGACATCGACCACTTCGCGACCAATTTTTGAGCCTGTTTAACAGGACATAATTTACCTCACAGCTTGAACTGCTATAGACCAAACCAATTAGCAGCTCTTGCCTCTTGAATTTCAAGCGGCAACTAACCAATTCACACGTCCCACTTTCATGGGATACACTATCAATAATGACAAACGGGATAGCATTCCTAATGAATAGAGCTACTCCCCCTCCTTTACGCTTATGTATTCTGTCGGTCCTTAATAAAGTAAAACCCTCGAAATCGAGTTCCATATTATCTATAGACTGTGTCAGCCAGGTTTCTGTGACTGCGATTATGTCTGGCTCTGTAAAGTCAATCTGTTCACCTAGTTCCGATAGCATATTGAGCAAGCTTCGGGCATTAATGTAACTGATCTGTAGCCTATTTAAGTGGCTTCGTGTTTCACCCAGAGTGGCTTCGCCATCATTCTCTGACGAAACCTCACAACCCGAAAATTTACAATTTTCAGGTCCTTTTCGCCAGCGTCTAACCCAATTTGTAGTTCTTTTTCAGCTTCCCATCTTTTTACACGGTCTGCCAACGGCAAGCCCTTTCGGATAAAAACTCCCGAACCCTTTAATTTATGTCCATTATGTAAAATTAAGTCCCTTTCATTCGAAGATTTGAAAACTACTTTAAGCAGTCTAGATTGTTTAGGCTTCAAGTTCGCTAAACTACCTAGTCTATACACCTTTAGAAAGGTGACTCCAGAGATATTTTGAGGCATGAGTTGATTAAGTAGCTGTTTTATCACCACAATGTCATGCTCAAAACGAGTTTTTGGTTCAGAGCTTTCACTCTCCCTAATTCTATGAAAAATAACTGATGTTACTATGATCAGCCTTCGATTTCTCGACTACGGTTTTGGGGACAGGATTCCCTTTTATATCGTTATGTTGTTTCTTCCCTGCAGCTTGTACCCATTCGTCAACGTTGCTTGGAGAAGCAACCACAGTCGTGTCACGCATAATGTGGGATTCCAGAGGGTTGTCGACGACTTGGGAGGTCAAGTTATGTTTCCCTCTAGAAACCGATTGAACCTTGCAATTGCGGCTTCTAGGCGTTTCCTACTGGATACCATTTATGTGACGAGGGACGGAAGAAACTTCTTTTATTGAGCTTTCAGTTTATACAGACCACTTTGAAGACTTTTTTCCTCCTTTGATCGGTGTGAGTTAGCAGTTTTCGAACTCACCTGAGTTCGCCTCACACCAATTTGCGTGTCGAAAGAGCTAGTACTGTACGATGTGTCCCGATCACGCTTGCCAAAACATTTTTGCAGCAGCATTTACCAATGAGATGGCCTCGGTTATCAAGCTGTTTGCATCCGAACAGCACTGTTGACAAAGCCATACGCAACCGTTTTTGCTGAACCGTTTCAAAGCCGCAGGCGTTAGATTCGTGCAAACTTCCTGGTACCAGACTTTGCACTCATCACACTGCATGCCTCTTTCAATGGGATAACGACAGCTCGGGCTTTGGCAATTGTCTTTTTGCACTGTCCAGTCATTAAACAGGGGTGTTTTTTAAGAACTAGATGCAATAATACTCAGTGATAAAAATGATCTATGACCAAAAAAGGTGGAGAACTGTAGATTGTTAGAATATTTAAATAATTGACGCGTTAATATCAGTGTCAACCTAACCTTATCTCAGGATGCCAAGTGTTCCGATGGGTTCAGTACTAGGATCTTCTCTTATCTTCTACTAGTTAATATAAGACATTCCTTAGCAAATGCCCTCCGATTCATTACTTCTTGCCGACGATGTTACACTTTGGTGGAAAGTTTGCAGTCAAGACGATAAGCTGGTATTTAGGGAGGGTTTGACTCAGCTTCATTGATGGACGGATAAAACCGACTTACACATAACACCTCAAAGTGTAAAGTAGTCCATAAGAGACATGTTGAAGACTACGCATATAATTTAGGTAACTTCCCCACATAAACCCCCTGAGTCGATATATATCTAAGAGTGTTAGTACCCTTCGCTATAAGGTCTTACGTTTCAAGCAAATCAAGCATTGATGACGTCAGAATGCAATTTCGACAAGTTCGTCAGTAGAACATACCATTCAATGTTTAACAGCTTTCTTTTGTCCCATTTAGAGTACAGGAACACAGCGTTTTCTCCCTCACTCTCAAAGAATAAGATTACGTTGGAACGTATATAAAGGGGAGGCACAAAATCACTTTGGAGACTCAAATTCAAGTAGCATAAAGGGCGCCTCAAATCATTGAATCTTTGCTATCAGATTCAAGGCATCTAAGAGGCGATCTAATGTGTTTCACAACTTTCATCACTCAATGTGGAATATCAGGTAACATAATGCTCAGGCAATGAAAGCAAGTAAATAAGAACGTTAAATATTATACCTTATTATTAATAGAATGTCTATGACTGAGTTGAAACTTCCCAACATGAATTCTTACGACTTCAACCTCCACTCAGGTAGTCCTGTTCAAAATGACTGCATTTGTGATGGAGTAGTACTCAACCGAATCACTGTGTTTCAAATTTACATGTGGGAATGGACAAATGTGATAGAAGATCCGTAGTTTCTAAAATCTTAAGTCTGTTAACCGAGCACTAAATTATATGACACCAGCAAAAACTGGGCGTTGATCTTTTGAATTAAGCAAAGTTTAGGTGAGTATACTTCTGCGACTGTAAATAAATGCTCAAAATAATCTGTTCCGCAAGTTAAAGTTTACCATTTGTGGTTTAGATGTTACGAACTCAAAAATAAAGGTATTTTCAGTGTAAATTTGAAAGCTATCGTTGTTTTAAGACGCGCTTAGAAAACAAAGTAACTAAGTATCTGAGGTGAAAACAAAACCGAAAAGATCTTACTCATGTTAATAGTAACGTTCGTTCGGCTCAGACCATCTGCCGTTTCGAATCTACATGTTGCCACGAATTGTATTCCCAGTGTCTCCACATTTTGCATGGTTGGATTTTCGTGTTAGACATTCAGTATTGCGATTTTTCGCGTGGTATATACAATTTCTTTGATACAGTATGGTGTATGCTACGTTTCATATTAATATTTAGACGTTAAAATGACAAAATACAAAGTTCTTCGCTATGAATTTAAATTAAGTTTTAAGGAAGATAACTTTGCTTTTCATTGCAATGGATGTATTTTTAAAGTTATTTATTTTTATGCTGTGCACATTCAAGAGAAAATCGTCTTGTTGATTTCCATTGACTTGTTTGTATACTTTGTCCTCACTAACCCAACCTTACGAATTTTGTCGGTACTTGGTGGTCTATGTTTTCGTTACATCTCTGGTTTTTTTGAAATCATCCAGGTTGGTTTTTCATGAATTTACTGGCTATATGTTTAATGATAGTCAACTGTAATCTATCGTTATCCTTTTATTTGAAATATCAGGGTCCTGTACCTAGTTGTTCAAGTTGCTTGAGTCATTGTATATACCCAACCTTCCAATTTTATTAAGCTGGGAAGGAAAATTTAAGGTAAATGTGACAGGACCACCTAGAGCGTCAAGTTCTATGGAAATCCCCAAAGTCTTTGGGGAACTTTTTTTTCCCAATATCCCAAGCTCCCAATTTTGGGGAGCTTTGGGGATATTTTGGGGAAATCCCCAAAGTTAAACAGCCTTCCCCAAGGTCTGGGGAAATTTTGGGGTTTTTGTGCCATTTCCCCTAAATTTCCCCAAAGTTTATAATGGCGGCTTCCCCTAAATATCCCCAAAATTGTGAGCTTGGGATCTCTCCAAGCTTAGGGAAAAGTTCGAATTTTTATTACTTTAGATAAAAACCTGAGATTTACGAAAAATTTGGATATTAGGTGTATTAAATTACGTATCTTATGGTGCTTTATTGACACTGGTTTCATACCTGCAACTAATTCTGCGAACCAACCGAGCATTTTCTGTTACAAATGTATTTTATGTCAACAGGATTTTAAGTTGTAGATTCCTTTTTCTCCTAGGATTTATATGTGCGTATGTTTAACCTTTCACGTGCGTGTTTCTGTAGCTTCCAAAAGCGTACTGGCTCTATGTTATTTTTCTAGTTGGCCGTCTATTAGTTGCTGATTCCCTTTATCCCCGAAAAACAAAGTTCTGAAATTATAGTGGATAATGGTTACCGTTGCTTTCGTATAAGACAATGTGGTATCAAACGGTTGCGAGTTATACAGAAAGACTTACCTACGAAGACTTTGTGCCTAGTAGTGATGGATCATCAGTGCCTACAGTCAATGACCTTAGGACATGCAAATAAACATAGCCGAAGTAATGTTGTATGTGTTCGTGAGGTATTGTGTTTACTACTTGGCAGATAATGAAAAACTTCTCTAAGGACTTCAGAAAATTTGCTTAGACTATACAATTCATGTGAATAATACGCGGGAGGTTAATTGTATACTCTTGATTTACCCTAATTATAGTCAGGAGTAAATAAGAACACGTGGTCTAATGATTTGAAACATTTTTTCAACTGTACTTTGGTGTATTCTACTTATGCTGACGGGCAGAAGTAGTATGTAGCAGCAATCGAAAGTGGAATGCCTGGTAGCAGATTGAAATAAAAAAAAACAGGAAGGGAAACAGAGGAATTGTAATAACAACAATTGGCAAAATCGGGAAGCATGTGAAGGATAAATGGAGGAACATGTGCAAATAATGTATTTAATATGTGGTTTCCATGTTTCGTGAACGCATTCTGTAATTTTGCACTGAATAATAAATAAGTTTTCTCCACTTGAGTTCTCGTTTACTACCATCCCATCCCTGCTTTATATGGAATAAGAATTGTAGCGCACTTTCCCACTTGTAGTGTTCGATATTCATACTTCCCCCAAGTGTTTTGTTTTTTACAAAAAAGGGTAAAAAGACCCTTGATCCTCTGATTAACCATTTGTTATTTTTGCCTTTTAAGATATCTCAGCATAAGATTTAGGAACTGTTTGTTCGGCCATATAGACTCTGTGTTATGAGATTTCTCCAAAAATGATACTTAAAAAGGTTGTATAATTTTCTTATGAAAGACTAATTTATTCGGAATGAAAACCGAGTAAAATAGGTCATACAATTTACATGATTAATCTTTTTACGCTCTTCATATATATTTATATGACGACGTATTCGAAATTATAAGGGTAACTCATCTGGAAATGTTAGTGCCATCTCGGCAGCCATTAGCAACCATAATAGGGTATTGCACACTTTATTCCTATCTGTAACTTGTTTTTAGGATATGATTGGTTGTTTTGGATAATGTCTGATGTGTTCAGAGATGAATTCAACGCAGATACAAGTAATATCTATTTAAAAACCACTGCTCTCATACAACACATATTATCTGCTACACATGAAGAAGAGCAGGAGTTAAAATTATCAGGTGATCGGGCAGCTCAACTGCGAGAAGTCAATAACAAGTTACGTGAACGCGTTATGAACGATGAGAAGCAAGTGGATCGTATGATATCTAGATTACAGAACGTAAAGCGAACAATCGAAGAGTTACGTGCTTCCATTGAGAAATCTAAATCAATTAAAGTGGGTTTAATAGCTTGTAATTATAATACATTATAAATCGGTATTATTTTCTAGATGTGGTTTTCATAAATATGTTTTTAACTTTACAGTCTTAAGTAAAGTCTGAACTAATGGTGTCTTCTCACTTCAGTTCAATAGGTCAAAAAACTAATATCTACTACCGGTTTTACTTAGTCACAGTCACAACGTAGAACCTGGTACGTACGTACATTGGTTTAAGACGCGAAATCCTGGACTAATAGATGTAGTAACAGTATCACTGGTAATAAAAAAGATTAGGCATAGAAGATACGACTCGAAAAAAAAGTGTAAACTAGTGAAATAAAAACAAAAATAAGTTATGAGTAATTTAGTATGTTAGGATTCGGTTAAGTCAAAGAATGAATGCACCTGTGCTGTTCCAAACGATTTTGAGCCATGCCATTCACAATCGCAAAGATTAACTAGAAAGTCCATACATATTCACATCGCCAAGCCCGGTTAGTAGTGGACTAATGCCATGTCTTGGTTTGGCTACCCCTGGTTTTCTTCCAACCTGTTCCTGTACCAGAAAACGTCACCCGAGGTAGACAGTGGATGGGTATACGTAACACCTCATAACCACCTCAGTTAATCAAGATGCAAGCCAATCCTGAAGTAAAATTTTGCATTTGAAGGAAGAGAACCGCGTCACGAACATGCTAGCATTTTTGAATAAGGTGGACAGTAAAATGCATTTTGTTATTCTTCGCCATACAGAATTATATCGTCTTCGTACCTCAGGTCAGCAAGTAAACCTCCTGATAAGTCAACTTTGGAAAGTCAGGATATGGAAGTGTTAACTCTAAAAGCATTCCTATAACAAAGTTAAATGAAGTAATCAATATCCATAAAAGTCCGCCATAAGCTCTGACTCGAGCATCAGTGTTCGAGTAGAGAGCCTGTACAACGTTAACGTACTTCTAGTTGATTGGTCATTGGGTAGTAACTAATTTTATGTGTCAGCTACTTATTGTAAATCGATTTCCATCGATCAGGTTGCAATGTGAATACATCTCAGTCCTACAAGAGGTCAGTTGCAGCCTGGTTGACTCCGTGGTAACATCTGTGAGTGTGAGACTGGGTGACATGGAATCGAATCCTCCAGGGAGCATTGGTTTCCTCGAGATTGCGGTTGCACTTTAATGACGAGTGCCAAATGGCACAAAACGTGGGTTTTCTATCAAATGCACCCAAGCACCTTACGTTAATGCACTTCTTTAGTACCCCTTTCAATGACAACCACTGCCATAGTATCTCGCGACCAACGGAACCGAACGTCATCCTAACGTCAAGGGATACAACTATTGTTGGATATCCAGAAGTATATCTATGTTCTAAAACCTGCCAAAGGGTGAATATTTGGTCTATACATCCACATCCAGGTTTGAAACCGACCTTGTTTTTCCGGGTTCGCTACTCACGAAGTCTACTTAGACGTCAAAGTGTTATTGAGGCTAATATTTTAAACGCTATTTTGGTTAAACTGATTCATCTGTGATTATCACAATATTTTTGCTCTTATATATTAGGATGATCAGTCAGATGGGATTTATTCCATTTCCCAGATTTTAGCCAAGATCTCAGTTGATTTGACTTCTGAAACTGGACCATCATCCTTAAAAGATCCCAAGGATTAGTCCATCAAGTCCTGTTGCCCTCTCTCGCTTTATATTGCTTATAGTATTTCCAACCTCACTAAGAGTTGGAGGACTTACATCAGTTTGCCATTCATGTTTCATGAAGATAGTGGGTAACTGAGGTGTCAGTCAGTCAGCTACAACCTAGAGCCAGGCACATATATTCATCAGTCCAAGTTGAAGTGTGACTAAAGGCCGCTTGCGTCTTCGCAAAACGTCCCACTTATAAGCACTGGGTTTCTTATGGTTCCTTACAACTGATTGAAGCCCGTCGGTCTACTCCGGGTGACCGTAAGTTTGACCACAAAAGAAGGCTGTTACGTAATGAAATCGGGCAAAGCTTGCGTAAGGACCGAGAAACCTGGTGGTCGGGGCGTGCTAATCAGCTGGAAGTAGCAGTTGCATCGGGTAACTACCGGGAGCTCTTCCAACTCATCCGAGCCACTGGCAGCAAGATGTCTGGTGTGAGCGAAACAATCTGCGAGGATGACGGAACGCCAATCACTAACATCCATCGACGTCTTGGACGATGGGCAGAATTTTTCGAAGGACAGTTCAACTGGCCTGCTGCTCCGGCAACATCGGTCAGACTGTCCTGCTCTCCATGACCGGTGACGACTGATCCACCAAATGAGGCGGAAGTCCGCAAGGAACTCCAACTCTTGAAACTTTACAAATCACCGGGCCCAGACGACTTACCTCCGGCTCTTTTTAAAGATGATGACTTTCTGACTAAGGGACTGACGACGTTGTTTACAAAGGTCTGGGAACTAGAGAGTGTACCAACGTCATGGAATGAGTCGATAGTTGTTCAGATCTTTAAAATAGGTTCACGTCGTTCCTGTAACAACTATCGGGGGATAAGTCTACTTCCGATTGCGTCCAAGCTATTGGTTTCCGTTATACTTCGTAGGTTGTTCAAAACCCGAGAAGGATTGACTTGCGAGGAGCAAATAAATAGATAGTCGGTTGAATCTTCTGGATTAAGAATAAATAATAGTCCCGTCTTTTTCCGAAATAGTTTCACTGACAGCCATATTCCCTGCTTCGGTTTGGACATCCGGGCAGTATCACAGCCCTCACACGAATCAAAACAGATTTGTGTGGCGCATATGTCTCTGATTCTCTCTTGTATCTGTATTCCCAATACCCGTTTCCTTGATAAGTCTGAACAGTTGTGTGCTATTATCTACCATTGCTCACGATCATCACGTAGGTCTTTGGCCAGCCTACTTTTAAGCTGTTTCCGCTCCTCGTCATGTTCTGAGCTAAATGGGATGACTTCCCGAGAATCTATCAGTTCTGTAGACACAAAAAATCCACTGGTTTTCCTAGCCTTTTGGTTTAAGTTACTGGTAGATATCACTGGTGTTTCCATAGATTTGTGGATGCCATACACAATTACCTCGAATTGGTGTTCGTCTCGTTGTGTTAATGAAGTGTGGCAACTTGGACCAATGCATATATTTGCCTGGTCGTACGTTGCAACTGCCTGACCTCGAAATGGACATCGTTTTCACAGATGGCTAGTTTCTTCTCTAGTTGTTTCTGAGATATGTTCTTAATTTTTTTCATCTTTAATTTGAATTCTAAGGGGTTTCTTCGCTGTGGCTTCTCTGTGTCCAGTAAAATACAGACAGATAAGTGCCCGAATTAGAGCATGATCCGAGCATAAACATGTGCTCCAGACAATATAGCTCGACTGAGTCGCCACGATAAGCAAGACCGACCACCACATCTAGGTAGCAGCGTAGTCGAGTTTATTTGGCGTAATTATCGTAAATAAAAATTGCGGTACGTCATGTCCTAATTTTCCAGTGGAAACAAAACAATCATTCAGCTTAAAACTAAGCTTCATTTTACACTACTGATCAACGTACTTGTCAAAACTTAGTTGCCAATTTAACGGTATTATGTTACAACCATTCTACCTGTCACACGTGTGCTTTATACTTGGACTTTCAAATTAAGCCGCTTATAAATTTGGCTTGCTTGTTCTTCCCCTAGATCGCTTACTTGAAACAAATCGAATCAGAAAATCCTCCTGAAGATTCATTTTTCCCATGTGAATTTGAAAATTCTACACTGATGCAAGTTTATAAAATGATCCAACCATTCGAACGCCTACTTGGAATTCAAATACAGAAAACGCATACTGGACTACTACAGTTGCTATTTCATGGTTGCTCAGATGCTCTGGTTGGTAATGATGAAGTAATTGTGTGCTGTTGTCAACTTCGTATTGTAAATACTAATCGCTTTGAAGTCGTGTTGTGTGATCCACCCGTACCGGATCTAGAAAGGCTAGTAAACCACCTGAATTGGACTGAAGATATACGGAGTTTCATTATTGTATTAAGACAACGTTTTTGTCGTTACTTTGAACTAGCTGCAGCAGTTTCGAACAAATTAAGCTCTGAATGACTAATATGTTAATGAACATGCTGACAGTGTACTCTAATGAACCTTTATTATGCGTGAATTTGTCATAATTTATGTTCATCTTACGCTTATGTAATACATTATATATATAATCTATGTGATTATTTTTTCACAGCTGCGTGAAATTGGGAATAATAATAGTTCGTTTGGTATGAAAATCCATTTACGGTTAGCCATCGAAGCGGTTGGTTTATAAAGAAATGTAAAACGTCCGTTTATTTGTTTTTTAGCGGTGAAAATTTGAATCAATCGCTCCTTCCACTGTGTTAAAACTTAACAAATTATCTGCTATTTAGACCAAACTGGGACCTGTAGCTTAACATCTGTGATTAAATGTCTTAACAAACGTTCCGTTGGATTGAAAGCTTTTCTCTGGATTACAATAATTTAGCGGAGAAAATGGAACTCATGAAACAACGATGATTCAAATGCGTGTGAGGAAAATATCCCACAAACAATTCAAATCCAGAATAATCAGAAAACACTTCGCAAACTATTCTTGGCATTTTCGATCTCAATAGTAGTTGTATAATACGGAGCAGATATAAACACATTGTGGTGTGTGCTACTTATGTAGACGTAAGTAGTATATTACGCGAGTTAGGAACGTAATGCCTGGCAGCAGAAGATAGGGGAAGATCAAGAAAGGAAGAGCGGGAACACAATGCAATTTGTATGAAAACGCATGAACAATGAAATCTGAGACAATGGATTGATGTTTGCAACAGGAACAGTCAAGTTTGACATGTTGGATTGATATTTTGCAAATTAACGATTTAATATATGGTTCTCAGATTTTATTGAGATGCTCTGTAATTTGTTGTTAAGTACATCTGATTGTCCCCACTTGTGTTTTGTTCACTACAAGATGACTGGAAGAGTTTCTCTCGAACTAACGCTATGAAATACTAACTGTCTGATAAAGCTAAAGACCGGTGACAATAGCACATGTGTTCTCATCCTTAATTTTCCACTAAGTCCGAAAAGGTATTTTTTATTTTTGTATTTCATCAGTAAAATTTTTCCTAAGTTGAGGTTTTTGAAGTGGAATACAAAAGTTCACGTTAACGTTTGCTGCGTTAGGATTTTTCACACATTGAGGCAAGTAAAGATCATATGAAATCGATCTGAACTGTATTTTGAAATAGGGATGGTTATGTGTCAAAATGTAAGTGACAGTTAACTTTGTTGAACTAGGTTCCATTACTTCCAGTTTCGATTCACATGAAGCACATAGTGTATATATAGCTTGAAGAGTTAAGTACCTGTATGATTTTTAGTGCTTACACGTCCGTGATACGTTCAGACCATATCTATTCGTAGATATACAACCCAATATTTGTGAAATCATTAGCTAATGTTTTTAAAAACGAACACGAAATGATTTGTCACACTTCACTGATTTTCGTTTGATTTCGAAGTCTGGAAAATTTTACAAAGACGAAATGTCAGGATTTTTATAGAAATTATATTACGCGAGATCAGTGATTAATTTGCAGAAAAGCAACAAAAAAGTCATTAGTAAAATAATGTGAAAGTAAAATAAATTACCGCCAAATATTATTACATGTTGCACAAGTTTAGTATAAAAGTAGGTAAGTCGACTTACACAAAATTTTGGAATGTTATGAAATATAAAGTTAATAGAGAAAGCATAACTTAACAATATAAGCATGGGATATAAAATAAAGTTAGTAGATCACAGAGGTAAAATTGAGTTGTTGGTATATTATTACTGAATTGTGCACGTATGTCAAAGATCCTGAAATTCAAAAATGTTGACGAGATTATTTACATAATATGATAACAGCTGACTGCTAAAATTATTAGTTTATCCGAAAAGCTTCATTAATCGTAGCAATGAACAGTAAAATCGCTTAGACAAAATGCATTACTGAATTAACATCTAGCATACAAATTCTACTTTAAAAATAAGTGATTAAAACATGCTGTTTGCTCCGGCCATTTAGATTTAGCCTACAAGCTTGTCAATCACATTATAGTACGTTTCGCTCTCGATGTAGGTGTCCATTCTAATGACGTGAGGATATACGTAAATTTGAGTAATAACTTTGATGGCCAATCGGTATGCACTAGTCAATAATGGTTAACGTTGCTCGCTAACACACAACGCAGCATATTATTTGGGTCCACTGATATACGAGGGTAAAATCTTACAAACATTCCCGCTACTAAACATTGTTATGGACACTGTAGACAACGAGAATCCATAAAAGTAATTACAACTTACATGCGAGAATTGAATTAAGAAATGCAAAATGTATGTGTAGATACTGGAAATATTAATTTTATTTCGCTGTCAAGTGAACGAATAGGCGCACCATTTTGTACGTGATAATCAATAAGATGTTGTATGCTATCAAATACTCGTTCTTTTGTACGTACCTGAAATTTGTCAAAAACATGCATATAATGTCTAGGCCAGTTCAAAATTTTAATAAACATAATTTTTCAACATCTAGAATTCACAAATTTTTCTTCATAATGTGGATACAAATTTCTCAATTTAATACTAGTCAAAAACCAAGTGTTACGGCAAACTCCTCTTTAAGGATATTTTTTGTTCAATCTATGATTAATACATCAATTCCAAAGTAACCAGCCTTAGCTGCCCTCGAAGACAACGTCGGAAATGCACCAATAACTGTGATATTTCCACTAGTTTTGTGAAATCATCTGATTACATTAGGTGGTTAATACACATAATTAACGGGTCAAAGCAAGTTTAAGATAGTGAAAGTCGTCCCGGTATTTGTAAAAGTGTGACCTACATATCTCAGCATGCCATTATTTCGAGAACTTTTGGAGTTATAAATCAGTGAACTTAAATGTATTAACTACAAGTTTATTATACAAATACTATCAATTGACATGTAACATTGAATTTTATTCGTGAAACTTGTAATCGTACACTGGAGGTTGAAATTCGATAAGTGCAAAAGACTGAATTAAAGTTTTTTTGTAATCGACCTTGAACTACGTTTGTTTCAGAAAAACCGATGATACCACCCGAATCGAGGTGGTGAAATCAAGATTCTGACTTGTAACCATATGGTTGAAAATCGGGTGTTCAAATTAACGAAATACTGTAGCTGATAGATCTGTCTGTGTCAGGCAAAACGAAATTCGATCTGACGGTTATTTAGCTGATATTATCGCACAATTAGGTTTATCTCCAACATGTTAACCTGAAGAACGTCTTGCTAGATTTTTAGTAGATAAATGAAATTGTATTTGCAAACATAGTATAGGTTAATGAAGTTGCCTTAAACAGTATATTACCTTTCCATTCGGGTCGGCCAGTAACAAATGTCTATATTTTCCGTCTTGAAGGCCGCTTAGTACAAACTGACCAGGCTGTTGAATGCTAGCACGCACGAGAAAGTCCCCATCATAACGCAACAAATTCTCGGCTTGTGATCTGGACATTTTACCAACATACCAAGGCTCACCTACCGGTTCTAAATGTTCAAAATTTGGAAGTCCAACTGGTGCCTTTATATTAGATATTGATTTGACACCAGCAACTTTGTTAATGTTGCAGGAAGGTTGTTGTGTTAAATCATTTTGATTAGATTGGGTATTTGTCGTAGTGCCACAGGATGGTTTGTTGTATTCTGCATTATCAGTTTGGTTATCCGGAGAAATTTCGTTACCAAGATTCCCTGCGTATAAAAATGGTAAATACATATAACCTTGTGATACACCAGTTAAAGTGGAGTCAACTGTAGCACTTCATGTCAATCAAAAATAATTATGATCACGTCAACATAAGGAGTATTTTCTCAACAAAAATCTAAATTAATAAACGTCATTATGACAATGAAAATGATGCAAGCATAGATATAAGTTAGAAAAAAGATGCTCAAATATTGGGGCGAAATCAATTGAATGAAAAAGTAGGTAATTTGACCATTTATATTTTGATTGATAGTATTTATTCAAAACAAATGTAAATTATTCGACAATCCAAGTACACAAGGACGAACTGTTTCACTATTCTAATCTGATGTAGTTGCTAACACGGGTGAATAAATATTACTAATTAAGAGTGATCTCTAATACAGAGGAACTTATTTCCGATTCTAAATATTCACATCACTGGTTCAGATAGTTTGATTTTATTTTAAGGAATTGAAGTGAACGCTAAACTATCAACAAAATATCATGGACGATGATGCTGGAAGGAGATACTACCAAGTTTAACATCCAAAAACGACAATGGGGATAATTCCGCTAAATTGAATGACTGTGCATTTTGTGTCCTGGAAGTCTTTCCTATTGGAACTTATAAACAAGGACTGCTGTGAATTAGGAGGAAAAGTCTTAAGATTTAATTCGCCTAGTATTGCAGGACTTAGTAAACAAGCGTGAGTTAAAGTAATAATTGTTACTTCGTGCATATTAAATCATATGATACCATCCTGCTTTTTTATTTAAATAAATTGAACAGAAGGATTTTGAAAAAACCACTTTTAGACTTTACTACACCAAACATTTACTTTCTGTTCTGATCTTGTTTCCAAAGTACATTTATTCATGACACCTGTATATTTGAAATAAAACAAATTGCTTAATAATGGATAAAAATAAACATTACATGCACTATCTTCAAAATCCATAAAATTATCAAAAGCTACTGGTTGATGAGTAACATTATTATTAGGCATAGAAGTATTTTGAGTTAACGTTGAATTCTCTTTTGATAGGGAAGTAACGGTATTGGCAGATACCTAAAAGAAAATAAACAATATTGTAGAGAAGAATAATATTAATGGAATTTCAAAATATAACTTAATAGTAAGTGAATAATCCACTTAAAATTTGAGAAAAATATCACACAATTTTAAAATAAAAAAGATAAATGAGTAGGAATATACAGACTAAATGTAATATAAAACCTGTTCCCAACAGGCAAAGATGAAACTATGATTTCATACACTTAGTTCCCTTTATAATTTTAAAGACAGCAAGAACAAAGATTGGTACAGAATAGTATGAATTCATTTTATTTTGTTAGGTTCTCATCAGCTGCTTACAACCTGAAATACTTGAAAATCAGAGTTATTACAGATATTGACATACTTATACATAATAAAGTGATTAAGGATGAATACATGTGTTATGGTCCGATAAGAATGATGAGTGGTCATTTTTGCGATCCATTTATGGACCAGTACTATACGCATATTTTATCGTATAATTGTTAATTAACTAAACTATTCATATTCATGTCTCGCTTATCATAAGCTTTATTTTGACCTATGAACTGTTATTATACGATTTTCCATTCGTGAATTATTCCCTGTTTATTAATCACCACCTCCCTCATTCACAGTCACTTTTGGCCAGATTTTGTACAAATGTTATTTTCTATTTTATGGTACGTTGTGGTCTGCTTGTTTGGTATATAAACCGAGTATGTTTGAAATACATGATTTATATCGCAGAGGCTCGGATGGGTGTTCTGGACTTAACTGGCTGGGCTAGGCAGGAAGCGAGACCAATCAGAACTCTAGGCTGCTCGTACGGGTTTACGCGTCATTGATCCGATCGATAAGTCACTGCTCTCTAATCGGCGGTCACAAGTTATAACAATTGGCGACGGGGTAAAAGAAAAATACAGTCCAAAGTCGGCCTGTAATTGGACGAAATTCAGTCTAATTATTTCGAGCAATCAGTATCCAGATTTGTCATCAGTGTCCTAGAACGACATTGGTCATTAGTCATACATTAATTTTCATTACCGGTGCTGATTCAAAAAAATGACTCTACCTTCTGATCGATTACAGCTGCTATTTGAGCGACATTTGGAGTTCTTAGTCAAGTTCCGCACGCAGCTACTGAATCACTCATGCTTTGGAGATGCGACGGAAGTGCATGGACTGATTTCTAAATTGCACACTGAGCAGGAAATTGATTGTAGCTTCCTTGAATTCTCGATAAACTGTACTTCAGATGAAACAGCAGTCATTCAAGATCCGCTCAGTGGTCCAGTACTCGCCATTTCAGAAACATGCCAGGTAATGGATTTAAACTCCATTATCACCGAAACAGCATGTACAGACAGTGACGTATCCAGCTCACAAAAAGACGCCCTGTTAAATGTTCATGGGAATGTCGCAGTAACCGCCCATGAAACAGGCTGTTTACCATCTTTTGGTCGCTGAATTTCGGGGATTTGTTGTTAGTGTTGCAGCCTGCATAATGGATTTTTCTATATGTATCAAAATAATTTGCTTCATCTATTAGATTATCCTGAAGAGTTTAAGATCAAACGGACTAAAAGCATTCAGCAGTGCTATCGCAAGACATCTCCTTGACACAGAACACGAAGTCGATACACTGAAGTCCCGCAAGGCGATTAACAAACAATCGAACTCGAATATTTTGAAATTTGCCGAATCGATAGCAATCAAACGTCTAAAACAGTAATAAATCTTTCTTTGCCCTGGTAACATTACCCCCCCCATTTTTGTTTATTTACTCATTACGTCATTCATTATCCCAACTCTTTCTGAATTTTAAAATTACACCATTCATAACTGTTGGGGTATTCGGAAAAATACCCCAGAAATTATCTAATGCTATTCCTGAATGAGAAATGGTGTCATTTCCCCATTGGTCAATATTCTTCCAACGTGTCATTTTCCCGTTGGTCAATATTTGTGTCATTTCCTGGAGGTTAAATCTTGCACAAATGTTACTTTCTATTTTATGGTACGATGTAGTCTGTTTGTTTGGTATATAAACAGAGTATATTTGAAATATAACGATTCACATCACAGAGGCTGAGACTTGCGTTCTGGACTCAACTGGCTGGGCTAGACAGGGAAGCAGGACCAATGAGAACTCTAGGCTGTTCTTACGTTTTACGCGTCTTTGGTCCGATCAATAATTCTCTCTCTCCTCAAACACGTCCCCCTCTCAAGTTATAACAATAACTGACTGATTTCAATTCATATCTTTATTACCATTAATCTATTTTCAGTTACTTCACTATATAATCATCTGGTGTGTCTTTTTAATTACATGAGTTCTAATCACTATTGCAATGTTCTGGAACTTCCCCTCCCAAACTTTATTTATTTATTTATTTTAACACATAGATATCGGTACAAGAAGGCACCAAATATATATGCGCCGCACAGATCTCATTTGATATGTGTGAGGGCTGTGATACTGCCCGGGTGCCCAAACCGAAGCAGGTGGTTTTCTTAGGGGGCCAAACCCCGAGCTTTTGACCTGAAGATCCGATCCACAAAGCAGTGGAGCATCGTGAGGAGATGCAGTTCCATGGTAGCCGGTGACCAACGATTGGTTCATACGCCATTTGTTCCTTCAGGATACTGAAGCCCATGTGCACTATTGGTTTGGGATCCGGTTAAAGTGCCGGACATCCGCCTTTCGTCCTCTCATTTTCGTAAACAACACCCCCGCCACGAAAAGGCAGTGAGTAGGACTTCCCTGGCAGGGGCTGTATACGCGTGGCCATGTGAGAGCATTTCGAAAGGAGGAGCGGACTCCCCCCACTCTCGGCCATACCAGGGCATTTAGGGGCCCAAACTTTATTTATTCGAAACGAAATTTTATGACCTCATTAACTCTATCGGGATATTCGCTACATCATGATACATGAATTCATCCTTAATCACCCACTTATGTATAAGTATGTCAATAACTGTAATAACTCTGATTTTCAAATATTTTAGGTTGTAAGCAGCTGATGAAAACTTAACGAAATAAAATGAATTCATATTATTCTGTACCAATCTTGGTTCTTGCTCTCTTCGAAATTATGATTCTTGAAATAAAGCTACCGTCTTTCCACTTGATTTAGACTTCGCAATAGTCAAGTACATTATATTTGTTTTTTAATGTGGGACAAATGCAAATGACTTGGCAGTGTGGACAGTTTCTTAAGACATAAAATGCGACCATGTTTTCTTTATGAAAACATAGCATCTGACGGTTCCATGTAAGGATAATGTTTTCTCCTTATTCTACTAAGGAGCAGCTTCACTTGGAACAAATATAAGGACATAAGGTACACACAAATAAAGATCGCCAAATACAACGAAAGGGGCCCTGAGAAAATAGAGGGGAAATATCATCGGCATCAAACGCTGAACAGTCGCTTTATCCACTTTTGTAAATAATCCAACACCTTGATAAAAGACACATCACTTATGCCAAAGGTGCAATCAAGTGTAACATAGAGGCATCTACACAAGATCTTATTTTTCAATAATAGCCTGTTATTTTAGTCTATTAAACCAAAGGTAGAAAAAAGGAGTTCCTGATGACTGGCAAAATACGTGCTCCTTATTACAACATTCTTTTTCGTTGGCTCAAGGAAAACTTTCACCTATTAGGTAACCCTATTCAAAAGTTCGTCTTATAGTCTATCGGTTGATATTACTTCCACATAGTTTAATATCTTAATCTGTGCATTAGCTTGTAGTGACCAACAGAACACGATTGGTGTAATGGAAACAACTACTATTATAACCAATTGTACCAGTGATTGTTTAACTGTACCAAATACATTATTTCTTCCGTTGATTGTGGCCTACTAGTAAACGACATATATACATTTATTCCTTGAACAAACCAGACATAACGTTTATCGATTTGAATGCATTTATAGTTGATGCCAATATACATTTGTCAATTAACAGAAATAAATCAAATAGGACATACTCACATATATATTTTGTTGATTTTATATTGAAAAAATTAAACATTATAATTATAAATAATAAAACGAACTCACATGATAATTGGTACCATTAATAGATGATAGTTTGTTTGAATTACTAAGAGAATTTTTAGACATTGATATATTTGTTTGAAATGTTTGGTGATTAGAAAATAGTGAATCCAATGAATTTAATTTAATGGAAGATGTTTGTTTATCAATATTTTGTGGTTTAGGATTTTTGAAATCCTAATTTTGTTCATATTTATACAAAAATAGAGTTGTTAGGACAGTATATAGATAAAATAAATTAAAATAATGATAAAAATAAAATAAGGAAGAATGTTTAAATTGTGAAAATAGCTTAAAAAATGGTCTAAACGTTCACTGTTTACTAGCGTTTGATAAGTTAAATAATATAACTGTTCCTTTTCTATCTGATCAGGGTAAATTGAATATACAAAACTAACGAAAATAATACACATGGGTACGATCGTATTAATACACTTTTTATCAACCTTGTTTATTCATCAGTCCATCAGTCTCGAAGTTTATTATAGAGGTTTACCTACGATAATTAAAATCAAATCACAAACTAGTAATATTGCAGCACTAATCAACCAATAATGCAAGGCATAATTTGAGCAAGAGGAAACTAAACTACGTGAACTTTGATCAAAAGTAACAATATTGGATTATAGTTTAGCTAAAAATGCAATGATTTGGTTTACTTTACTCTACCATTTATAACTGGTGATATGCTGAATTAGACGGTTAAATAAAAAGATTGAAATGATTTGATATCAAGTTAAATTTACTCTTTATAATAAAGCGTATAAAATAAAGGGCCATCTATAAATGATCACCACTTCTATGCTCACATATTCAGAAACGCCGAATTCCCATACTAATTAACATGCTTCGTCACCGACTATAAAAATGTTTATTTCATTTACAGGTTTACGCGTTCGGATTTAAGCTTAACACTGAGTTCTGAAAATACAACTTGGATGCTAGAGCGAATTTAATAGGATGAGATATGAAAATAAGACCCAGTGATCAAAACACTAAACTAGCACTCACAAATTAAAATATAACACAAGCATCCATCAGTTTAAGTGGCTACATTTCATCTCAGACAAGGAAATAAATTAAGCTATCTTTTCCTCTAAATTTTAGATATTTTTACTCCTATTGACTAAAGTTTGCTAAAATATGTGAAAACTATATTTGAAATAATCTCAGTGATTGAAAATAGCTATTGATATTAAGCTATCTACTTCAACTTGCTACACTTTATAATTAGTTGTTACAGTGACAGTAAGCTATACTAACGACCAGAATCCTGGTTATGCTTCATGAAACATTCTACTTCAAAACTTAGGGTAAGACACTACAATCTAAAGGACAAGTGCCCATGACGATTTGCAGATGTGAATTCGTGTTAGTATTTACCTGATATCCTAACTGGAATGCTTGTCCGATTGTAATAATTACATCCTGGGCAAGACCATCTGAACATTCGAAAACGTAACACATACGAGTGTCTTGATCTGTTTTGGCCACATAACAAATGAAATCTGGTGTATCTGCATCCCCAGCGGAAGCAAAAGAAACCAGGAATAGGTTGTGTTGGAATAATAACTGAATAAATAAAACAATAAATAATTATCGAATAATGTCAAGTGAAGTTCACCCACCACTAATTATTGAAGTAAATACTGACGGATATTTTACCAAAGTGCGAAGACGAATACCTATTTTGATCAATTAAATCTAAGAACGGTAAATTCCAATGCAAAAAGAATGAAAAATCAATAGTAAGTAGAGCGTAGAAAATCAGACGGTCAGGATAATCTATGTTGATAAAGCAATCGAGAAGCAAACGAGTGGAAGAATGGAGAGCTGTAATATCTTACTCCTAAAAGATAAAAAAAATGTACTATGATCGACAATTAAATGCTAGATCAAGCTGTCAGCTATTACGTTTACTACTAATTCGAAGGCCATACTCAACAAGTACGCACCCCAATAAGACTGAGGGTAATAGCTTGCGACCTTATGAACTAGTAGTGTCTTATTCAACTCACTGAAGATTCTTATCAAATGTGAATCTATTTCTGAAGGTTCGCACTCAGAGCTGGAATCAGTCAGTCAGCAGCAACGTAGAACTTCGTACATACACATATCAGTTCGAGTTGTCATACCACGTTAGCACAGAGATGCAGTTGTCGATTCAAATCCCATAGCGGTAGAGGTAGTAAAAGTATAAGAAATAATCAAAAAGATTAGGGTTTGAAAATGTTATTCAAGGAGTATAATCCAGTGAAATAAACTTAGAAATAGAAAAAGAGAAGGGACATGGACAATTCAGAAGATTAGAATATGGGAGAACACAAAGAGTGGATGTACTTGCGCCATTGCAAACGATTTTGAGCCATGTCATTCAGGGTCTCTAACCATCGGTTTCTATCGTCTCGCGGAGCCCAACCAGGTAGTCTATGCCTACCAACATAGCTCAGTCCACTTGTTAGTGACATCATAGATTTGTGCCATGTTTTGGTTTGGCCACCCCTATATTTTTTCCAACCCACTCCTACACAACAAAACACCGCTCCTCGTTGGTTGGGATGTCAGTCAGCTATAACGTAGGACCAGACACAGATATGCATCGGTCAAAGTTGCCATACCGCATCAGAACAGCAAGATGAACAACGGATTCAATGGTGGTAATATATAAAAGAAAGACTGCATATAAGGAGATATTACAGGAATAAAGATTTAGTAAGTACAAAGAAACAAATGAAACGACTTTATTCTCTTAGTTTAAGGGAAGACAGAGAGTGCATGCACGTACGCCATTGTGATCGATTCTGAGCCATGTCACCAAGAGTCTCCAATCATTAAATTACGATAGTCACACGTACCCTACCAAGTAGTCTGTATCTACCGACATGGCTCAGACTAGAAGTTGGTGAATTCAAGGACTGATGACACGTTTTGGTTTGCCCCCCACCCAGCTTTCTTCCAGTCATCCCCAACACTAGTCAACATTGCGCGTCGTGGTAATCGGTGTTCAGGCATACGCAACACGTGGCCCAAAAACACCTCAGTCGGTGACGATTCACAACCTCATCAACTGATTTACCATCACTCTCTAATACCCTGTGTCTAACCTCACTATTACTTACCCGGTGATGCCAGCATATACGAGCAATATTTCTAAGACCTCTATGATCAAATACTAGTAACTTACGCGTATCCTCTACCCTTAATGACCACATTTCACAGCCGTGAAGCAGAACAGAACGAACTGCCGCGCAGTATACTCGTCCTTTTATTGATAGACGGATATCTCGCCTTCTCCATAGGTGACACACGTTGGCAAAAGACAAACGAGCCTTTCGAATCCGTGCTGAGATTTCATCAGACACCGATCCATTAGGGCTGATCAGACTTCCAAGATAAGTGAAGTTGTCAACGCGTTCGACTACTTCACTCCCTATCTTTAGTTCAGGTGTTAACGCAGACCAGTCCCGAAGCAACAACTTGCAATTAGAGGGAAAGAAACGCATTCCAAACATTCTGGTATTGTTACTTAGTGCTACCAAAAGACTGAATTTTATCAGCGTCTTCACCAAACAGGGCTGTGTCATCTGCGTATTCTAAGTCGATAAGTGGACCTCCTGGTAGGAGATCATCGCCCGGAAATTCGGTCGACGAGAACGTTATTTCCATCAGTAGGTCTATGATGAAGTTAAACAAAAATGGAGAAAGTGGACAGCCTTGACGAACACCACTTGAGGTCGCAAAATCAGATGACAGTTTGCCATAAGCTCTGATTCGACTAGTAGTGTTCGAGTAAAGAGCCTTCACAAGGTTTATGTACTTCTGAGGTACACAGAACCTTTTGGTCTACAGAGTCATATGCTGCTTTCCAGTCAACCTAATCGCTAAAATTGGACTACCATCCTTAAAGACCTCTGAGACCAATCCCTCTGGACAAGCTGCCCTTCCTCGTTTCAGATTAGCTATAGCCTTTTGAACTTCAGCTAGAGTTGGGGGACCTACTTCAATGTTTCATCCACAGTCTGGGAATGGTGGGTAGTTGTAGAGTAGCTGCAGGCCAGTTGAACTGCTCTTTAAAGTGTTCCGCCCATCGTTCTAAACTTCTGGACTGGGAGAGGATGAGAGTGTTGTCTTTTTCCGAAATAGTCTCACTTACATTTGATTTATTAACTCCAGTTTTTTTACTAGTCTGTAGAGCTGTCTTGCGTTACCTACAGCCACCTCCTTTTCAATCTCTTTAGCTTTCGTTGCCCACCACTGCTTCTGATTTCAGCTGATTTTTTCTCATTTCAACTTGTTGTAGTGGTAGTGGGATATTAAATTTATCACGTAATATTACCGTTGACAAAGATTTGGGTTTAGATGACTTGCTAACATTTCTATCTCGAAGTTGATTTATATGTCTAATAATTAGTGTATTTTCAACCATCACTTCAACGTCATAGGAGCAATTTCCGACAGAGGTGTTAACAAATAATACTCTTATCAATTTCATAAATTAAGATTTCATCGCTTACCTAACGATAGCATCTACCCAAAACAAAACGCAAAAATTAGATGTATCACATACCACACCATTATCAATTGTTTCAACAGTGAGTGTTTGTGATGTGATTGTAAGGTATACGTTTGCCATTGCCCATGTCATATCGGTGGATGGGCCAATGAACTGTTTTATTGACTTGTCAGCTGGTCGATTACTTGGTAGTTTTAGACCAACATCTTCGCATACACGACGTATTGATGCACTGCAAGGATAAATAGGGGAGAATTTAAGAGTATGTAAACAAGTCTTATTACCTTCTAACTTGTGAGGTTAAGTTACATGCATTCTGTGGCAAATAATTAGAGAAGTTGCGTGAGAGGGTTCAGAATCGGTCACAACAGTACAGATATATTTACAATGTCTTCCATTAGATTCTAACTCTTGAAATTACTTTACACCTTTTAATCTGTCAGTCTATTCTTTCTGTTTGAATAATATTTTCTGTCCATGCTTCTTTTTTTACTTCTGCTGATACTACTTCTATTACATTGGTATTATCAAACTTCCAGATGGTCACAACACTCGATACCAGACCGTGGAGACAGTAAGATTTCTCACGAATTAATGGAATCTTTAGAAACCCTGTTTTATTGAACATAGAAGCGGTAAAATCGAGGAAACAAAAAAGAAACACTATAGCACTAGAACTATTTCAAAATATAAATTGCATTAAACTGTCATTTGTTAGTTAGATTTCCCGGACTGTGAAAATATGAACGTCAATCTAGCTCTCTTCAGGTCGCTCAAATAGAACGTTTACTCCACATCAGTAGGTGCGAAGTAATAATCGCTAGCAGTACTGAATTCAAAACAACTGAGTATCAGTAGTTATGACTCAGAAGAGAATGAGAATATAGATGGAGAAATAGTAAATTAAACTGGCGATATGTGCTGTTACTTATGTTAGAAGACTGTACATATTCACTTTTAACAGCGGTGAATCCATCCCCACTTTTACTATTTTCAAACCTTTTTACGTTTCGAAACTGGATGTTTTGACACTTTTACTGACATACGAATTTACATGTTGAAAACATTAGAATATGCTTTAGGAACATGCTTCATGCAACGTAGCATAGTAATGCGCTCCATATTTGAGGTTCTTTAGACCGGAACAGACACTATATGTTGCATGCAGAAGTGAAGAGGCGCAGTAGTATGTTGCAGTTCCTTATCTTAATGATTACTTTTTCATACAGATTAAGCTAGATTAGATTTAAGTGTAAAACGATAATTATGACTTAAAATTAAGACAGGTAAGTAGTCCTACTGAATTATCCTTATAGATTACAAATGAATAATATGCTCCCAGACAAGTTGAGACTTAATTTCATAGATGAAGTGAATATGAATATGGCTGTGGCTACAATCGCAAATGAGCTACATAATTAATACACTAAATCGTAAAAAGCAGCAACAAAGATATATAAACTATGAAGTCAGTCAAGTTGTTCCAAATATTAAACCGTACCGACAAATCCGAGTTCTGGTGTTTATATCCACAGATTTTATGGATGTCAGCACTGGGATAGCACCAACATATTGAAGTTCAAATGTTACCCCGGCATCGGCAGCCAGTTGTGAATCACGATGAAGCCATTGCTGTGACCTTGGTGGCTCAATTGACATGCTAAAACCCTATTAAGTCACAAAAACACAGCATCCCAAGTTAAAAGACCGCCGAATAAAAATAATCATATAGACCTCAAAAAAGTTGTTGTTAATCCATATGCAAAATTGTACGGTTGGACAGAATAAGTAATCTGAAAAGCTTCTTACCGAGGTTTTTATGGCAAATATTGATTGCACATATATCGGTAAACAAATATTTACTACCTGTCACAAACAAGTATGAACAATGTTTTATTTTCTGTAAACCAACGGGAATGGAACGATTGAACCAAGAAAATCAAAAAAGGGTAGTGGTTTAGTACTTGTTGTGATTATCTTTGCTTTTGTGTACTTGTTGCATCATAAAGCATCCATGTTCTAACTTGAAGTATTTCGGTTAATGTTTGAAACTTGCTAAACTTTGTCCTATAGTACCTTCTTTTTCATTGGCTGTGACACTTGTTTTCATATAGGGTCTTAAACCATAATCTGGTCACAATGGTTGGCAGTACTTACAAGTGTGAACAGTCAATTTTTTATTCCCCTTAGAAGGAATAATGCAATAAAATGAGTGTAAGAAGCAGTTCCACAAGATGTGTACCGCTTAAGCCCCACTGTATACAAAAGAATCTTTTTAGAACATTGCTCAAAGCCTAATTGGTTTTGTCTTTGTATGTTTTACTGTACGAATAAGACGTTACTAATTCAGGATGCCATGAGCCTATTAGCTTTAGCCTGTAAGAAGAAAGATCGTGGTTGCACCGGTAACACGAGTACTAACAGTGAAGAATGTGTCAGTGTAGTACGTGCTGTTACAGGACGCGTTAAACACCCAACTGTGGTTGACAGAAAAGTGAAATCTCCGTTAAAACTAACGAGGACTGATGCCCTACTTGACATCAATATAGGTTGTCATGCATCTCTAGTGGAAAATAAAACCTGGATAAAACCGTCACCGCTGCGAATAGTCCTGGTGTGGCTGTCCCGAGTGATGAAAAATGAACAGCAGTACGGCGAAAAAGAGGTGAAAATAAAAAAGCTACAAGTGGTACATACTTCGTTGGCAAGTCATTGATCAGCTCCCATTCTGTCACAAAATACAATACGGAAGTCTGATAGTAAGACAGAACTCCACCCTGGCATGACTAAGAAAAGTTTAGTCTTATCGAATATTCCGGTTTCTTGGCTCAACGTGGTTTTGTCCTACGTCTGCAGCGTTTTCTGGTTCGCATCCCTACGAACGCAATCATCAGATCCTGGATACAAACCACTCGGGTGTGGTATGCTAATTCGACCAACAAATACAGCACATTTCTCCTTGTACCGTTCTGCGCAAAAGACTTTCGTTGGCAACTCGAGGATCAACGATCACTTCCTGTTCCGCCAATTTCCTCCGTTCTACAACCGCACTTCTGCAGATCAGTCCCACGAATCAAACCGCTAACTATCAAAAGTGTAAACCCTTTCTAGCGGGGGGCTCCTGTAGTGACCTACTTTTGTCAACAGAACGTGATTGGTTCAATGAAAACAATTATTATTATAACCAATTGTACCAGTGATTGTTTTATTGTGCTCGTTTGTTTAACTGTGCTAATAACAGCCATTTTGGTCTTCCATTGTACTCCATTACTTCTGCGCGGTTTGTGACTACGCACGTATCTTTTCTTGCCGATCGCATTTGTACTCCTTTGGCACGATCTCGGTATTCTTTCGATACCACGAGATTGCCAGCAAATATATTGCAACTACTACTATCATCTGCCTTCTGATTTTTGGCCTACCGGAATCTTATTGGTCTATTGGCACGTAGTCTTGTAGCGGTGTTCATAGTCAAGCTCAACTCGACACCACGCTACAATCTCGTGCATACACATGATACGTGTGTCATAGAGCTGGCTCTAAGCAGACTAGATTTGATATTTTTAGGGCATATGTGTCCGGTATATTAAACATAATTGCATTGCTAGATCGTCTTATTCTTTCAAAAACATCTGATGCAACACGATCTAGGAAAATATTTATGTCATTCATTTGACCTGGAGTCTCTGTGAGGTTGGGGTTGATGAGATATTTAGGCGGATTGAGAATGTTCATGTCAACTTGCAACTTTTTTATATCATCCGCATGGTTGCCGTTGAGAGTATCATCACTGTTTACCAACATAGTCTTCAACATGTCTGGAATGGAGACAACTGGCAAAAGCTTGTCTGCCTCCGGATGAACGGAGTAGCTCGTCTCGTTGAAACTGTCGGGAATCGTGTCAGTAGTATCGTTAGATTGTGTTGTTTTCCCACGTTTGGCTGGACGCCTAGAAGCAGAGGTCCTCATTCTCTTTTGTGGCAAGATAAGAAAGTGACGTATAGCAGATGGATTGAATAAAATGTTGGGAATAGAAATGGGTAAAAGAATCAATGCCAAGGGCTCAATTTAGTATAGAAATCAAAACCTATGTTTTAACCAAGAGTGAATGATTCGTGAGGATGAGAATGGCAGGAAGATGGTAGTGGAGATGTAGTATTTATGTCAGTATCTGAGTAAAGGCAAAATAGAACATAATGGAGCATGTTGTGTAAATTTTAATATATATATTACACGATAAATAGCCTTATATAAGAAAGTAATTTGAAAATGTCGATAGTTAGTGGCAAACAATCAAAGTGAGTACAGTATGTGATATATATATAAACTGAAAGTCCGCATTAGTAAAAATTGGGAGGTGTAAAGATAAGTAGTTTAAAAGATTATGTTGCTTTATGAACAAATAAAAGAAACTGCTTTTTAGATAAAAACACTGTCGAAAAAAACTATGACAGACTCACCGAATTAGACAGGTAATTTCAGAAATTAAATGAGTTATAGTATCCAAATACGATTTAAATTACAGTTCATAAAGTAGTGAGTAGTGCTTCAGCACACACGATTACATATATTTCTTGATATTGGGTAGAGCCGTGAAAAATCCTGTAAATACAAAAAGTACGTGGGCAAGAGCATCTAAACACGACATAACTATATATTCCTTGAGGAGCAGAATACAGATATGAAACGCAATTATTCGTCGAATATGATTATATACGGTTTTAAAAGGGACAGAGCATGGTTTGATCGTACAGCCGAAATGAATATATGTAATCATATGATTATGAATTATTGTATGAATATGATCATGAATACCATGAATAAGTTAAATTCAGATCTTATCATATAGCGTGAAATTCACAGTTTGTTGGGGACGATAAATTCCCCAAAACTCACGTTGTAAAATTATCGATTAACTTATCGATTAAATGTTGAATATTTGAATAGCAATCAATTGATGAACTTATTGACGAATGTTAATAATTTAAATGACAATATCGATTATATATTTTGTATATATACGTTTTAAATTGTTTTTTGGTGAATCGCTCATTTTCTGGTTGTTGCAGAATATACTTCTCATTTCAAGCCTGGACTTCTTCCTCTAGTTAGCTGGGGCTGGGACGCGTCAATAGATAGCTCACTGGTCATTGGTCATCGAATTTCGTTCTCGTTCGCAAACTACGTGAACCCGTGATCTCTCTCTCTTCAAACCCTAACACAGTTTAAAAGTTAATAGTTCAGAAATGAGTTATCTTCTGTAATTCCATGAAAAAAATAATCCATCCTAGAAAAAAGAAAATCGAAGGCCTCAGCCTGAAAGTAACGTCCAGTCTATTAATAATAATAATAATAATAATTTATATTCTGAAAAAATTATAATTACAGAATTCACGCCAGTTTACAGGCATGATCAATTTGATATAAATAATATCATTATATGTACAGAACAAACATGTGTTATGAGTTTTAAGTTTACTAGTTCAGTAATTGTTTGGGTATTACAGCGATCCAATGTATCAGCCGGGAACATGTAATATTTCTTAACTGGACTGTCTGTTGATTTATAAACGATGTAATTAAGGTCATTTCGTGTGCCAGATCGATTTAATGATAAATATCTACAACTAGAGAAATTAAAACGAAAACAGAGAGCACGGAACAACAAAGCAGTAATTACCGAAATTTGTCAATCAGATCTATCAAAATGCGTATGTCATGTGACACAGTGATATACTGTTGATGATATTCAAATTAGTTAAACTAGCTGGGGACGGTATTAACATAAAGTGACAGCGAGTAGGTGGTTTTATCCAGAGAATGCACTAATAAAAATGCCTAAACATTTAAAGTTCCTATAATAACACTTGTGGAGTGAGATACACTTGCGGGTGCTAGAGCATTCAATGCATTTTCGGAGGAGCAATATGCATCGATGCAACGTACAAATAATGGGAGTGATTTTATCGTACGGATATGTTCTGGTAGGTTATTCCAGAGTCTAGAAAATTTACAGGCAAAGTAATTCATATAAAGAGATGATTTAGAATAAGTTTGTTTCACAAGTGCCAAGGAATTACGGGTTTCATAATGAGGAGTCTCTGCATATTGAATTACATGATTGGATGTAAAGGATAATTTATTAAGTAGTTTGAAGAAAAAAATAAGATTTAGTTTGAGTCTCCTCTTCCATAAAGAGTCTAGCTCTAGTTTTTTACATCTAGAATTATAAGTTAAGGAACAATCAGCTCCAAGAATACGAAGTGTAAATCGTCTCTGTACTGATTCCAGCCTTAATTTATCCTTTATGCGCGCACTGCTAAGAATAAACGTGCAATATTCTAGAAGAGGTCGAACACAAACTTTGTACATTAAAATTCGTGATTCATTGTTATGAAGGTTTCGAATTATGTAACCTACTAGTCGTTGTGACTTGGAGGTCTGTTTCGATATCTGTTCTGTAAGCGATAAGTCTTGGGAGTATCTAAGTCCTAAGTCTACTACTGTATGTAACCTAGTTAACATTTCTCCATTTATGGTAAGGTCTAGGTTAAGTGATGTATCGCCGAAACATATCCATCCACATTTAGCCGTATTAAGTTCCAGTTGCCATTTTAAGCACCACTGGGCTACCTTGTTAAGCTCCAAGTTGATGCAAGTTTGCATATTTTCCAGCTCATGTGGAGAAAATGAATATACTAGTTTAAGATCATCTGCATATAGAAGGGGCTTACCTACACAAAAATTTTCACAAATGTCATTGATAAACACTAAAAAGAGCAAAGGGCCTAAGACACTACCTTGTATTACACCACTTCTAACGGGGACAGCGTTAGACAATGAAGAGTTAATTTTAACTATTTGATGTCGATTGCTGAGAAATGAATCAATCCAATCTAGCAAAGGATTTTGAACCCCATAAGATGCAAGTTTGCCTATAAGAAGTTGGTGGTTAACCATGTCAAAGGCCTTAGAAATGTCCAGATATAGCACTAAGACTAGATATCCTTGGCTACGTAGAGAGTAGACTAAATTAAAGAAGTCGAAATGACATGTCATGCAAGATCGATTTTTGAGAAATCCATGTTGAGTATCATTGATAAAGTTTCCAGCGAGTAAATAGTTGGAAAGTTCATCACTTACAATTTTCTCCATAATCCTAGAGATCACTGGAGTAATATTTATTGGCCGATAATTGTTCATGTCAGTCTTATCTCCAGATTTATAACGTGGTATGATGTACGCGGTTTTCCAACAGTAAGGGTAAGAACCAGTTTCCATAGAGAGAGTAAACAGCTTTAGAAGAAGAAGTGGAATATCTGGACCACCGTATTTGTAGAGAAAGGATGGAATCCCGTCTGCTCCATGACCGCGCGAAAGCTTAAGGGCATTTATAGCCATATTAATTTTCTTACATGTGAAGGAGATAGATTTTATGTAGTTGCTGGTCACGCACGTAACTCTTGAAGCAGAGCCACTTGTGGTTCCTACATCATTCGCAAAAGTAGCACTGAAAAGGTCTGCCATAGTTTTAGAGTCGTATATAAAAGTGTTATTATGCTGGATGCATGGTATATCAACATTTTGAGTTACTTTAGCGCGTTTATTGAGAAGTAGAGTTAAGTTTTGTATTTTTGAGTTACTATTAAGTGCTAGTAACTCCTCATTAATGGCTTTTAACCTATGTGTCTCTTTAATTTGATTAAAAATTATTGTTGTTTGCGCAGCTGCCGTGAAGTCGTTTGACTTGAAATAACGATTCTGTAGGCGTCTTAGTTTATTACGATATTTAGCTGGTATATATAATTCGTAAGGTTTAATAAACCTGTACGTTTTAAGAGGTACAGAAGAATCTAAACAAGAGTTAACGATCAAATAGGACTCGTCGATAGTATCTATGAGATTAGTACATGAAAAAAAGTTATCCCAGTCTGAAAGTTTAATCAGTGAATGCAGGAGGTCCCAGTCGGCATGCTTAAAGTCTCTATATTGACAGGTTTTTTGAATGGGTCGGTTAGAAGAGGGATATATAGGGAGAGAGCATACTACTGTCTTATGGTCACTGCTTTCAAATTCATCGCAATGAGCAAATTCATTAAATGAGATAAGTTTTTCGGAAAACCATGTTGTTCCCTGGATAGAAGATCATGTCCCTCCACGTAGTTTATAACAGTCATCCGAATGATTTATTCCATTGGTTTTACAACTGCACTTGTTAGATTAACGGGCCAATGGTTACTAATTAAATATCTAATCCCATCTTATACACCCGACTGATTGTTGCATCTTTCCAGTATCTTGGCAGCCTGGACTGTCACAAAGACATATTAAACGGTACTACTGAAAATTCAGTAATTAAATCCGATGGGGCTTTCATAATCTTAAGATGGGTGTCACCATATTCACTGGACTTATCAGGTTTGAGGTGCTGAAATAGTCTTAAGACAGTACCTTTCTCGATCCATCAAAAAGCCGCCATAATCACAATTAATTGTTGGTGATTACTCATTAGTGATAGAAATCACATTGCTGAAATATTGCGATAAAGCATAATCTTTTACGACATCGTCTCTTGTTAATATTAACGGATTTTCTTATGCCAAATGTGATCGAATTCTGTCACGTCGGAATAACCGTTTCGGACTATTTTTACAATCTCTAACCAATTGCTTTTATACCATTGTCTAGCTTTGCTTACTAACACTTTACAAGCATTCTTAGTCTTACAATAACTGGATCTGTAGTGGAGATAAACATATTTCAATGCTTTTTCCTACGTCTGGGAAGTTTTTCGACTTCTTTAGTTAGCCACGGTGGACTGTTGTTCGGTCAACACGGTATTAGGCATGATATAAACGAGGCTGTAACCATGCTTCTTCAACTGATAAGCTAGAATCTACCGACCAATCAGTCTTAGCAGCGCACCTAGAATAACTGATGTTAGTTCTCCATACATTTGGGAGAGGTTTAACCTGATCGTATATTATGTTACTAGCTTTAAACGCGAATAACAAAACGGCGTGATCGCTATTCACTAATGGTGGAGAAATATTTAGGTTTGCAATACTCTCAGTCGCACGAGTGATTACCAAGTTTAACAAAGATGAACCTTGGTTTTCACCAAAACGAGTGGGTCAGGATTCATGATCTTCTAATGCATGTTCAATTACCGTAAACCTGCTGACATAGCAGTTTATAGACCCTACAATGACCACATCAACCCAACTAGTAACAAATGCAAAAAATCTCCTAATATCAAGTATCCGTTATTTGCACTCCATAGCAGAATGTGCTCTAGATTAAAGTCATTAGCTAAGCAGAATTGGCTGCGATAGATGACACAGAGTATAAATATAAAACATCCGATAGTGAGCTTATAGCGGCATTAGGCTCTAACACGAGACAATATGGGAAATAACTTTTCAACACTTAACGCGGAGAAAAACCCAACGATGAATAAGGGGGGAACAATGAATTGAATGAATTCGAGCTGACCGGATGGCATGGCTCGGTCATGCGGGCGCGGTTCATGTTAAATGTTACCTCATATCTTTTATTCATATTAAATATATTGTTCTATCTCTAGCCTAAGCTTGTTCGCCATCACGTATTGGTAACCGTTACGATGCGATGAGGTGGTGTAGATAATAATGTGACTTCCACGTAAGATCTTATAGATTAAGCAGTTACATCACGACAAATCTACAATTTTAGGATTAGTTCTATTATTAGAGCAGTACTAATAACATAGTAGACCATAATTCTACAAGCTCACATCTAATGACTTCACAAGTTACACTATCATCGGTTTCACAAGCAAAGAAGTGGATATTTATATTTTTGGCTATGTATAAAAAGACTCTACCTTCTTTCCTAAATCTATGTCTATCACTTCTTAGATAGAGGTATCCGGATAATTCTGGAGTAATGTCGAATTCACGGACTAACCAAGTATCTGTTACGGCTACAATGAGTGGCTTTACTTTGTCTACTAATGTTTCTTGTTCACATAATTTATTTCCTAGTCTGCAAGCAATGGCATATTAAAGTCCGAGGGAGAACGGCCTATCCATACAGGTCTTCGTAGCATTCGTTTTCAACACCTGACTATTCGAAAATCCACTCATCGGAAACTTTCTTGTGGACAGGTTTCTAGTTCAGCTGGTATTGTCTTCCTTTTTATTCTATCTTTAAGAGGCATATAAGGTCTTACTCGAATGTCGGCATTGTTGTAACTACGACCGCTACTTAACAGAAGACAAGGTTACTTCTCCGACCCTAGGATTACCTTAAGGAGTCTATATGATCGGGGTTCAACACTGTCGACGGTCCCCTTACCTATTCTTATCAATTTTTTGACCCAAACTGCTTTAGAGTTATCTGGTAAGATGCTACGGATATATTTCCTGAGTTTTTACAAATCATGCGCATATCTAATTCTGGAATCAGGATCGTTTGACTCTGGCAAATTATTCACAATAATATTCGATAAGCAAAGATGGATAGTGGCTAGCAGTGGAATCCAGGACGCGCGTTTCGTCCTATTTGGGACTCGTCAGCTAGATGTACCTGAATCTCAGAGTTGAAGGTTATCTCCAGTTTGTTTGACTACAGTTAAAACCTAAGAAACTCCTCTCTAGTAGTACCTCGAGTCGAAAAACATTTAGGAGTCCTGGTGTCCTACGATTTAAAGTCTTACTCTAACTGCGACAGAAATGCCTTTCGAGCAAACCCTGCACTGGTAACATTGAAGCGCACTTTTGGTCAGTTTGACGGAAGAACCCTCCACATAATCTTCAATAGTTTTATTCGTCCCCATTTAGAGTACGCAGACATAGTATTTCCTCCTACACTCCAAAAGGACAAGGACACTCTGGAGCGTATCCCACGGCGTGCCACGAAATCAGTTAGGGGACTCAAATTTAAACCTTGTGAAGAGCGCCTCTAACCACTTGACCTTTACCCATTAGAGTATAGACGCCTTAGAGGTGTCCTTCTAATGACTTACAGTATCCTTAACACTTCTGGACATCCTCGCAAACGCCCACTTAAGCTTAGTGCCAATACTAACCTAAGGATTAACACCCAGAAATTAGAGATACAACATAGTCGAACGTACTACAGGCATAACTTCTACTTCTTAAGAGTTGTCAAATGCTGGAATTCACTGCCGGCTGAGCTAGTCCAAGCAACTTCCCAGGAGTTCTTTAAGAGGCGACTTGATCTATTCTTAAGGACTAAGGATAGTATCTTACTATGATTTGCCAATTTCTTCTTTTCTCTTTACCTAGGTTCCTGCCTGGAGGTATTGGTGATCCCTGCTACTAGACAGGGAAGCCTGTTAAGCGAAAGCTTCTTCTATTCCGTCCACAACCATTTGAACCACTTGAACCATTTGACATATTACAAAGAATATAAAATAGGATTTGACGTCTTCAATTTGTATAATGTATGTAATTATGGCAAAAAACCTTTCTATATTTTTAGTAGCTTACACATTAATCAGTATTAACAAATTTACAAGAAAAAACGACTTTAATACTTTATCATGCATTTGTGGTTAGTGAAGAGGTTATGAAATAGATCTGTTCTCCTGTACTCAAAAGGCGTTTACATAACCTGACGAAATGGGAAGATGTGAATAATATTTGAAGTCCCACTTTTGCATATTACATGTTCCACAACTTTTCGATTATTAATACAGTATTCATCAGGTCTAACGCTGAACCTTTCAGGTAAATGATCATAACTGAGGTAGCCGTAGAAATGTAGTGATTTTGACAGGATTATATTCTGTTTTGTACCTCTTAAACTGTGAGAATATGGCGCTGAACACCGATTTATCCCTTTTAATTTTCTTTCACAGTATTACTTTCTGCTGCTCACCTTTTTTCTGTTTCTTTCACGTCTTGGATCAACTCAGTACAGACTCAAGAAAAGCTGCTGTCACACATAAAATAGGTCCACTTATATAAATAAAGGAGACGTTAAATACGCAAACAGTGTAATAGGCGTTTTTATGAACACAGAACAGGAATGAACGACTAAGTATGTATGTCCATAAACCTAGTTATCCACAAATTCACCTATTGATACACATTACACTGACAATGTGCATAGAACCAACCGATAGTCCATAAATAAATCTCTACTAACCAAGGTGGTATCTTGTGTTTCTACGAGTTAAAATCATATGGGATGGTGAACAATAAGATAGCTAGCCAGGATAGAAATCCATTACATATGTGGTAGGTTACTGAACTCATCATCCGTTTATTTCAGGGTTGAGTGCCGATCAAATTTTATTCATTTCGGAAAAATTTATTCGGTGCTTCATGGAAATCAACATCTCATTACTGAGCGCTTGGTATTGGTAATGATAAGAGAGTATCCATGTGTGCTTGTGTTAATTGTTTTTGTAAAGTGCCTTAAAGTGTATTCAATGAATGGGTTGAGAGAACGTTCAACAGTATGTGATCCAATTAGTT